TTAATGTTTATCACCGCAGTGTGCCTTTTATTCCTAATGAAGACGGTTAAAATGCCGTAAAATAAGATCGCATTTTGTATCTATTTTTTTATTTCGCCACTTGACAACAACTGGAATACAACAGTGATAGAAATCAGAGCGTTTACGATACAGTTTTAAGTTTGAAATAGTCAGTTCTGTTTCGATTCTGTTTGTGGTTTATTGTGGCAATCGTGGCTTCCATTCTTTTTTTTTTATAAGACCCACGGTAGCATCAGAAGTTTAACGAAAGGAAACAAATTTTTATTTTAAAAGTTTAAAAAGTCCTGATACCTATACAATAAACCATTTATCGTCATGACGTTTTTTTCACTTTAATTTTTTCTTTTCCATTTTATTTAAACGGTAACTTTTTTAAAAAAAATATCTACTTTACATTCATTCTCCGCAAAATCATGGTATACAAAGTGTATGCCATTGCTCTACGAATTTCTCTCATTCAGTAACAATAAATGAGCGGGTTGATGGAATAATTGATTTTCAGAACTGTTAGTGTAAAGTTTGCTATCCAGTTCCATGTTTTATACTCAGGCAGTTTAAGGCCTGGGTCAGGAATGTAAAGTAGAATTATGGTTGGGCAGCTATATTTCTTGTTATATTTGTTTTACCAAGCTGAACTTTCCCCTGATTATAAAACTCGACGTCCTGGCTTGCCTTAACATGTAATTTTGACCACGTGACATGTCACGTGATTATTTTGTTAAAATTTGGTCAATCGGCGAATTGGTGGCGAATTGTCATTCTATTGATCAATAAATGAGCGTTTGCGATGCAAATTTAAATTATCTACCTTGCTACGTTTGGAATGATCTTCCTTGATTTCGTTTATAGAAGATATAAATGATCAAAAGTCGAATTTTGTTAAAAAAAGGACCTTTCACCCTATAAACTTTTTCTGTGAAAAGAGGGACGGTCATTCCAAGCGTGAGAGGATGGAAACAATTGACCTGCATCTAAAACGCGTTTTTGCAGGATGTTGTTACTAAAACCCGCCACCAATTCCTCAAATAATGGCTATTTTCCGCTAAACGTCACGTGACATGTCACGTGACCTGTCAGAAGTACCAATTCTACTTTAAAATGTTCAGGACGTCAAAACCTAACTGTGTGCCAAATCTGGTTCCATTGCCATTGCCTTTAGAAATAAAACTAATAAATTATTTTCACCAGTAAACGCCTTTGACCCAGGCCTTAAACTACTTGAGTAGCCTGTAACATTTCGCAGAGCCAGGCAGATCGAGTAAGGTAGATAACAGTATAAAAGCACACAATATACCAGAAACATGTTCCAAGCTGATTTTGTTCGACGGCGCACATTTTTGGATCTGCTGCAACTTGGTTGCTTTCGATTTGCTTTTTATGCGAACGGTCGATGCAATAAATTTCCACCTAGGCCACGGTAGAAATAACCAAATATACAGTCGACTCCCGATAACTCGAACCTTCAAGTGAAATTCAGAAAGGTTCGAGTTTCGGGAGTTGAGAACAAATAACCGGAAATAAGGCAAAAAAAAAAAACCAAAAAAACAACAACAAAAAAAAAACAGTGTTTATTGTTTTCCTATTAATGAAGTATACATCTCAATCAAATTTAATGTAATGTAAGAAATTCAATATAAATGAAAGAAAAAGTTTACACGGCTGCTTCAAAATAAAGTTAATGTTTTTAACTACAGTAAACTGTTTGTTTAGACTTGTCACGTATTGGCCGACACGGTTCGAGTTATCGAGGGTAAAATTATGAAGAAAATGACCTGAAAGGAAACGAAAATTGCTTCTAGTTAACGGGGGTTCGAGTTATCGAGGGTTCGAGGGTTCGAGTCACCGAGGGTAAAAGTACAGTAAATGTGTGACGGGAA